TTCACCAGTTGACATATCTCTTCTCACCATCGCCTTATAGTGTTCCTTGCGAGTTTTCATTAAAAAGATTCTCATTTTAGTTTCTTTACTCACCATTGCCTTACGGCGCCCATGAGGGTTTTCACCAATAAGACTCTCTCATTTTATTTCTCTCATTTTGGTTGCACTAGATTCAAGTGACTGTATCCTCCAATTTTGAACATTCTTGTTGATTGATCGGAAGGACTTGAAAAGGATTTGGGTAAAAAGGATTTGGATTGAATTATAACTTTGGAACCTTTAAGGAGAAACCATCGCCAAACCATTGTAACATCTTCCCCAGTTTTAGTTTTTTTTTTTTTTTTTTTTTTTTTTTTTTTTTTTTGGAAATGTGAATTTTTATGTTGGTGTGACTGAACCCCAGAGAGAGGCTGCCTACGTATCCTTTCGGAATCAAGTCGAACGTAGTTCAAGTAACAAGAACTTGTTTGGATTTTTGTTTTGTTTTGTTTTGTTTTTCTTTTTCTTTTTCTTTTTCCTTTCCTTTTCCTTTTTTTCTCATTTTCTTTTTCATTTTCTATTGTTTCTATATTTTTTCCTTTTTTTTCAATAATACTTTCAGGTTCCAAAGAGGGTAATCAAAGAAAAGGTAACTGGCTCAAAGGGTTTGCAAATGGTTTATAGTGTTTGGGTATCAAGAATGAAAGTCTTCGTCATCCCAATCAGAGAGCATTAAAGTTGCATAAAAGGGTCAAACATAATACCTTTTGACCGCGTCTGCATTGATAGTTGTCTCAGGGTCATTTCCTTCGATTCTTCCCAGGTACAACGCTCCCTTTTGTAGTACTCTCGTTACAATGTATGGATCTTTCCAACTTGGAGCCAATTTTCCTTTAGCTTCTTAATGAGGTAGGAGGATACGTCTTAGAATGAGTTGTCCTTTTTTCAAATTTCTTGGGTCGCACTTTCTTGTTGTAGACACAAGCCATTCTTTGTTAGTACAACTGCCCATGGCAAACTGCGACCAATCGTTTTTCATCAATCAGTGTCAATTGTTCCAATCGATTCTTGACCCAATATTTATCCTCAATCTCGGCTTCAACAATGATTCGAAGAGAGGAAATTTCAACTTCTTCTGATTTCATTCGGACTTGGCCTAGGCTTACTGTTCCAATTCTTTGTTTATTTTCTCACAAGCCTTATCTTCAACACATTCTGCTTCTTGATTCATTATTTTGAGGTCTCACAACATTTTAGGATCTAGGCATAAAGTCCGCAAGCATGTCATGGCTTTAAAATTTGCATTAACATAACTTTAAAGAGAATAAGAAAGGTGACAAGATTAAGAAAAGAGACATTCAATGAAATATTAATTTCATTTGATTTGATTTTTTTTGTCTTTTTAAAAAAAAAAATTAAAGATAGAAGGGTTTACATCACAAAGTAAGACAATAAAAGTAAAACGTCCGCATTACACCTTGAAATAATTCAGACGCAGAAAAAGATAGCAGGACCGGCTACCGAGACTCCCATCTGACATAGAACTTTTCAGGTTTGGCGCCCGTTTTTAGGTTTTTCTTCTACCGCGGAAATAGCTACTGTGGATTTTAGTGCTGGATCAACTTTCTCATCTTCACAGATCATTCCGACTACTGGCCCATTGGTTTGAGTAGGCAGAGGATTGTTCATTATATTAGGGGCCTCTTCATCCCTAAGAACTATTGTCTTGACCTCGATGAGGTCTTCCACTGCTCTCTTAAGAATCCAATAGTCTTATGTATCATGTCCCATTGCTCCAGAGTGGTATTCACATCTAGCATTAGCCCGGTGCGCCGATTCGGGGATACTGGCTGAAGTAGACCCAGCCTGACTAGCTTTTTGGAACAAGCTCGAGTATGATTCACCAACAGGGGTGAACTGATTCCTTCTCGGGAGACTCTCTCTTTTTTCTATTTTTTTTTGATTTTTTTTTCATACCTTGATTTCTTTTTCCTTTCTCTTTTTGTTGTTTTTCGCTATTTGTTTTTCTTTGTTATTTTTTTGTCACTCTTTTCTTTCTTTTTCACTCAATTTTTTTCTTTTTTTTTTCGATTTATTTTTTCACTCAATTTATTTATGGCTATGATTGAATCCGATGGGGATTGCCTACGTATCATGACACGGCATGAATAAGATCATTACGTAGTTCAGGGAAGATCAGCAATAGACTGACCCATTGTTTTTAATAATGACTTTTAAATATTATTTTATTTGAGTTTTTTCTTTTTACGAAATTTTGATTCTTTAAAAAAAAAATACAATTCTAAAGAAAGAAAATATTTTGGAATTTTTATTTGAATTTTTTTCTTTTTTTTTTCGAATGAAAGACTTTGGAAAAGAAGAAAACCTTTTTGGATTTAGTTTTTTTTTTTTTGGATTTTCTAAGGAAACAATTCTAAAGAGGGAATTAAGGAAAGGGAAAATATTTTGTGAATTTTTGGAAAATTGGGACTGGAACCGATGAGGTTTGCCTACGTATCTCACATCCAGTGAGAATCAGACTCGCGTGGTTCAGTCGGTTTTGACACAACAGGGAAAACATGATTTGTTTTGACTCATTTTGAAATGAGCAGAAAATCTAGCGACGAACCTTCTAAAATTCGAGCCCGGACCGAAACTCGACTGTACCTCGTGAGGCTGTTAGTTTTTGGCGTGAGAGAGGTGACTATCAATGAAGCTTCATAAGGTGTTTTTAGGCTCAAATTTAAGGCATTTTTGGGTCTTAAACAGGGTAATGAATTGCTTGAATTTTCGAAAGAAATAATAAAACGAGTAGAAATTCATTTAGCGCAGAAGAAGAATTTTTTTTCTCTCAATTCTCTTCTCTATTTTCCCCTTCCTTCTCTTCTTTTCTCCTCACATTTCTCTTCTATTTATAGAAAAATAATTTGGAATTTTTTCAGATTTGTTTTTTTATTTTTATTGTTTTTAATTAAAAAAGAATTCACACTTCCCATTTTTCTTCTTTTAAAAAAAAAAATAATTCTCCACTTTCCTTTACTTTTTTTTTTTTTTT